ACCTGATCCAGATCCTAACCAACAAGGAACAGGTCGTTATTAAATTTCATCGGAATTTGTGTACATATACCAATCTTTAGCGACAGTCTTCATCTTCCGTGTTATATGAATTTGTATCTTTTATACTCATCGTGACAACCGGTTTACCTCTCTAACTGAAATGTAAGTATTTAAGCTTGCACAGATAACACAAATACAAATGCGGATTAGAGACAAAACAAAACAAAACTATTAACAAGTAAGTGAAATCTCGATTCTCGAAAACAGTTTGCTATTCATATTATCGTTCTTTCACCTCGGCTTAGACATTATGTTTAGTGTTCACTGAAGAGATCTTCACCTCGGCTGGTGTTGAGACGTTTGCAAACAAGTTATCAAGCTTGACGAAAATGAATTCGGTTCACCCGAACAGATTTGTAGTATTTTGTTCTGTCTTTTGGGATTTATTCATACAGATATATGATACCCCCTAGAAATAAGCCCCTGAGTGGTTTTGGATAGAAAAAGTTTTAGGTACTTTATTTCCAAGAAACGTGACAAATGAGAGATCCTTCTGAAATGATGACGACACCCGTACTTATTTTCAACCTCGTAGTCAGCCAAAAATAAGGTTAGATTTCTCTTTCTTTTGAGTGGCAAAAAATTTCTCATATGAATGACATGGTCTACGCAAATCGTCAGATGAAACACATTCTGTTTGTGGAATTCAGACAGAGAGTGACACTCTCCTCCAATGACTCGTGCTTTTTTATTACATTTAAGCAATTTTTTCATGTAAGTAATGGAAAATTTGAATAAATTTCAAATGGGAATTCGTCGTGTATATAGCAAATGAAGTGTGAACTGAAAAGCCAGGAAGCACTTGACAGCTGTTTCGAACTGGTTGGGTCTCATCAGCAGCGTGAATCTATCGACCCAACTGGGGATCTTGCGTTCTGCCCATGAAGTCCTGGGTTTGATCCCCAGTTGGGTAGATGGATTCGCACTGCGGCTGGGACCCAACCAGTTCGAAACAGCTGTCAAGTGCTTCCTAGCTTTTCAGTTCACACTTCATTTGCTATATACACGACGAATTCCCATTTGAAATTTAAGTCATTATAGATCTTCGGAGTTCATTGCACTCCGCCAGTTCGAACAATTTCTACGATTCTCACTCAACACCTAAGATTATCGATCCAAAAGAGCGACAGTGTAATTATCATGACTGAGCTGCCTAGTAACGGTGGAGTTGGTGTGGAGGGTTAGGAGCGACATTTATGTATGAACTGTCCATCGTACTGTTGTCCTCATATTTAAGAAGATAACCAACCGTCCTGGATATTTTAGACTCAGTTATTATCGATCAGACAAGGAATCAGCCATTGTTTTAAATTTTTTCTATTATTTAGCTAACAGACTTCATCAAGTCCAGGGACAGAAAAGGTTGCGTCTTTTCACATGCAATAGCAATTCGCGTCCAGCGGGTAGAATGGAGAAGGAAAGAAACTGATCGGTGCATTCTTTAGAGAGAACAGTAAACTGACATATCAGCTGGAAGTAGTTTTTCAGATACTGCCAGAC